AAAAAAAAAAAAAAAAAAAAAAAAACTTTAATGTGTAGCTATATATAATTACCTGAAAAGTTCAACAACACCATGTGAAACCGTATCACACAGCCCATACTTTGCTCTGGTGAACATGTGGCCAAGAATGTCAAGGGACACATTCTCAACTACCTATGAACTTGAAGGATGTGGGACATCACTGATAGCTTAGGCCTATGACCACATTGACTTTATTTAATCTAATCTCAACAAGACTTTTTTCTTGAAACTCTTTCTCTTCAATTACTGACCTGCAAAGAATTCTGTTCATCATGCTGGGTGGACTGGTCCATCACAATGCAGTGGAAAAAGGCATAAGCACTCCCAGGGTATACAGGATGTCAGCATTCATTATCCTGCACTGTAGGTGAAGAGAAAATTCATGGTTAGTGAATTGGCTCAGTTCCTCCTTCATTGCTCTCCTGGGCTCTTGCACCTAAAGCAAGGTCACAACAACCCCACTACCCTACAACCTCACAACAGGGAACCCAATATCACATATTGAAGGCTATGGATAGTTCCTTCCATTGCTGCAGTCAAGTTCCATGGCTGTCCTTATATGGATCCTACTGAGGTCCACCAAGAAGGCCTCTCAAGGCTGAAAGTGAGTTCTGGACTCCCTTCCTGCAAAGGAAGCACAAGAGATTCTTCTCCATGTGTACCTGTATGACTCTCAGGTCATTCTATTATTCAGGGTCCATCACGATTACCATGCTTGTCCCTCCTTCATGTCAACAAACTAGTCCTGCAATGTTAATGGGTGCCACTGAGGAGATATCTCCCAATCTGCTCCAAATCCTGTCTCAGGGAACCACACTGGCACCATGACCTCATGCCCTGCTTACTGCCCTAGTGGAAAAAAAATACATGTCAAAATACTGCCAGGTAAGTAATAGCCTCTGCATAATAGAGAGAAAGGCAAGAAGCACGACAATATCAGAGGGCAATATCAGATGTTCACCATCAATAGTCAATCTATTAATTTTTAAAAGCCCCAACGATGAATGTGGCATAAACTCTGAACAACTCACTAAAAGATGCATGGCTAGCAGTCATGAGAACATCTTGCACAACCCTCTCCTCCTCACATCTAAAAATAGGCCATCACTTGGAGTCCAATGAAGTAACAATATCCTGATTCTTACCTGACACTTGCATCAGGTTCCAGTCAGTCTTCTCATTTTCCCTTGAAGGAACCTGCAGAATACACGCAGAAGAAAATATCATTGTAAGGTCCATCAGCACTTCACTTACCATGAAAACCACTGAATCACCCTGGAAATGTACCTAGATGCTGGGATGACTGCATGAAAACAATCCTGTTCCCATACTCAAACCTCTCCTAAGTGGACACCTGCAAACTCTCCTTTACTACTACTCCTTAGGCTTGGATACAACAAGCACCAAAAACTGAACAATCTTTTCAGTGCTCAGTTTCACCTTCTATTTGACCTCACACATGCTAAGTGTCCACTCCCAAAGAGTACCACTGCTGTGGATTCCATTATTTCTGAAGCAACTTCACACAGGGGGCTACGAATGCCAAAACATGTCGTTGTCACTTACTAATGCATGTGGACATGGCAGGATTTCATTGGAGGCCTGGGCAGAAATCCACACTTACCCGGATGTCTGTATGCATCCACCTGATCATACTGTGATGCTTACTGTGTCATGTATATCCCTGTGAAAATGACATCAGAGAATTCTGACTTAATCCATGCATGTACCCTTTATACAGCACACGTATTGTGAAGGTCACTGTGTTGGACTGTTTGGCTCTTTTGATTTAATTGCTGAGTTCTGGGGGCAGTTGTTTTTGAGAAAATCCTGAAAGAAAATTATTTCTCCCTTGAAAGAGAACCTGTAGATGATCTAATATTCAATAATTATATGGATATTAACAAGGATTCTGGCCTCTTCATTTATCTTGGAAAGCTAAAAATTGCATTATGGCTAAGGTTCCCCACATAAAAGTAGGATGCTTACCAAAAGCAATTGGGAGGATTGCACCATCATTGACACATGGGTGTAACAGTGGAGAAAACCAATGTTTCCACTCATCACAGTTACATGGCTAAAGCTGAACAGAAGGAAGAAATGCTGTCTTCTCTGGAAGAGATATTAGAAAATCTCCATGGTCAACACTGAGAGGTATACAGTATGATCAACGACTTGGAGTCCTATACATCAATCCTAATTTCATATTTAATATCATGAGTGACAAATTATTTGCTCAACAGTATGCTGAACACAGGGTAACTGAGGTGTTTACAAAAATCATTAATGACATACATATATAAAAACAAAAATGTCTGCTGAGGTAAATGATAACTCTTCATCCCAGTGAGAGTTCTCTAGACAGTGCACAGTTCTCACTGAAAGGGATAATAGCAATTCTTTTTTCTGTAATGCAGTAATTGTAAGTTATAAATAAAACCAAAAATCATACTTCCCACAATTGTAATGCTGTCTTATGTAAGCTTAAAGCAATTAAAGGACTTCCAACATCCCCCAAAAAACGTGTATTCCCTCTTTCTAGTCATTCTGTGAAGAAGACATTTCATGGCAGTAAAACAAAGCCAGCCTCAGACTGTGAGGGTTTGGAGAACTTCTTTCTCTCAACTAGTAAGAAGAGGAAGTAGGTGTAGAGCCAAAGAGCATTGTAATCCTCCCCACAAAAACTACTGAGTGACACTGGAATTGTACCTAGAGTCAGGGATGAGGCCAGGGAAACAGTCCTGTCTCCAGGCTCCAATCCCTCTTACTACCCAGCACCTGCAAAGTCTCCTGTGCTTACAGTTCCTTGAACAGGGCCAGAGCAAGCACAAACACATTGGCAGAATCACTTCATCAATGCTCACTGTTTCAGCATTGATTTGATCTCACCAAGGCCAAGAGCCCCTCACAGACAACAGCATTTGCAAAGACAGCATCTGTTCTGAGCTGAGAACCTTAACATCTTTGGTCTATAAATACGAAGGGACACCTTTATCACTGATGGTGAACAATGAGGATAGAGTTGGGGTACTGGGCCTAAGGCCACACTTATCTGATGTCTCTAGTGATCCACATGAGTACCTGTCACCAGAACATTAAGATCCCTATGAAAAAACATCATCAGGAAAACTCATGCACATCTTCTAGCAAGAGCACATGTAAGAAATGCAGACATCATTGTGTTTATTTGCAAAGCCCACTTGCTTCACTAACTCTGTGGGTGGAACTCACCGATACAGCCTGGTACATGAAGAAGTTGCAAGAGTCAATATATATAATGTTGTAAACATGGATACTAGGGCCAGAGATTTAGCTCAATGGAACTCCCAAAGTTCCATCATCAGTACCTAAAAAGAAAAACCATGGATATTTATAAGAATCCTTAGAAACCACATGGTTTCTAAGATCATAGAAACCACATGGGCCAGCCATTCTACAAGAAAATGTGATGCTTACCAGCAGTTATTAGGAAGGATCTCTTTGTTTTATCTTCGCTGTTACATGGTCAAACAGAAGAGAAGAGACAAGGGGTCCCAAGAGCCCTCTTCCAATGTTTATGCAGAAAGAAAGTGTCCCATCCCTGAGGCGACATCTCACAAAACCAGACCAACAGCAAGGTGCCGATGAATAAACATGGCAACAAAACGTTATTCACAGGTTCATTTTCAACCTCACTAAGGAGCATCAGGCCCCAAATCCAGGCTATGGCCACATCAGGACTTACCTCATCATCTGCAATCTTGACTCAAAACCTTTTCTTACATCCCTGGGTGTATGTACCTGAAAGGAAATCAAACAGTGCCACCTAAAAACCACATTATTCAGCTCTCCCTTTGCTCTGCTGGCCCTTTTCTTAGCCATTATCCCAGACACAAAAGGATTTCACTCTACTCTGATACCAGCATCAATTTGAAGAGAACTGTATCGTGCTAAGACACTTACCTCATCAACTGGTCACCTGCCAAGATTTCTGTGCTTCCTGCTCAGGCTCGAGTACCACAGTATCACTGGACCAAGAAAACAGCAACCCAAAACCTCACAGATCCCATGATATTTACTGTCCTCTAAACTACACCAAGGGCACATTGATGGTCCTTGCATTGTGTTAGCATAGTTTCACATTCATTGGGTTTTTGGACACCTGCATCATAAGTGCAGGAACCCTACCATCATTTACAACACACAGGGGGATTTCATCATTTACATAAGTCCATTTCTAGGAAGGAGGCCAAGATCTGCACTTACCCTGAACCTGGCAGTGTTCAGCTGGATGACTACGCATGAGCCAACATGTGTTTGCAATCTCTCACTCGAAATGACATCCTAGGAAACGTATCTTTACTGGTCCCCATTTCCATGTTCATCTGCACAATATCAAAACCACATTGAAATATTCAACTTCTAAATGCTCACAGACTACGCACACAATAGTAAAAGGATACTCTTCAGGAAATGTCTGCAAGCTGCTTCTGTCTGCATCTCAGGAACACACCTTATGATAATGACCTCTTGTCTCACTTATTTGCTGGCTGGAACCTCTATAAAATGCATGAGATCTGCTGGTAGGGGCTGAAAAGCAGCTGGCACTTCCTCACCAGAGCAACAACACACTGAATACCACACTTGCCAAATAAAGGGGGAAACAGCAGAGCTTCACCATTAGTAGTCAAATCTATACCACAAATAATGGCTCTGATGGTGAATGTGGTACAAGCTTTAAACCCTTTAGTAGTCAAGAGTTTTACTGGATGCGTGCCCAGGAAACATGAGAAATCTCTTTGTGCGTATGCTCCTGACATCCACCTGGATGTGGAAGACAATGTGGTCCCAGTGAAGTACTAGTGACCCGATTTTTACCTGACATTTAAAAGAGATTCTGATCACAGGGCTCTCTGCAGTCTGATCTTCTCTTGAAAGTAATCTGAAAAAATCATAGGGAAAAGGATGGTGGTATAGATAGAGCCCATGAGAATTTTGGTGCCCAGGAGAACCATTGAGTGACACTAGAAACCTATCTGGATGCTGAAATACTTGCCAGTGAAACAGTTCTGACCCCCTTGCAGATACTCTAAAGTGGACAACAGCTCACTCACTCCTTCTCTCTCTCTCTCTCTCTGTCTGTCTGTCTCACTCTCTCTTTCATTACCCCCAGAATGTGCTACATCAACACAAGAATCTGGACAGAGTCACCTCAATGCTCAACATTTTAGTATCCATTTGAACTCAACCTTGCCAAGTGACACCTTAAGAGAGTAGCATCCCTCAGGACTCCATATTTTCTGACCTAACCACTAAAAAATCAAGGAACGGACCAGGAATGCCAAGGGCTATCTTTGTTATCTTTCTGTGCACTTGGTGGGGGCAGGACCTCTTTGGAGCCTTGAACTGAAGCCCATACTTGTCTGCTATCTCTAGGGATCTGCCTGTATGTTGTACACATATATGTATCTGTCCTGTATGTGTATGTTGTACACCTCACTGTGAATCAGAATCCCCGTGTGAACAGTGGAAGGCTGCTTTACTCCACATCTCCTTGAACCAGGAGGTGTGAGAATTGTAAACATCACTGAGTTTGGTTTCAGTGCCCAAATGATTGGCTAACTGGGTCCTCTGGCACTCCACTAAAAAAGGCTGGTAAGAGAATCCTTGTTCCCTTGAACAGAAACCCATGAAGATACAAGGGTCAGTGTCTTCAGGGGTGGAAATCTGGATATTAACAAGAATCCTTGACCCTGATATGCTGCAGCAAGCATGGAAACAACCGTGCAGCCACCATCCTACATCAAAATGTGGCTATGAGGAAGAGTTGCTTGTTTTACATCTGCTTCCACACATGTAAAACAGCAGAGAAAAATCAAGGGTGCCCAACGTCTCTCTTACGATGGAACATGGAAAAAGAAGGCATTCCATCGGTGAAGGTGGCAACATCTCACAACACCTGACCACCAGCCAGGGCCATCCAGTATACCTGAGGAAAAAGCATGGGAACACCAAATTAGGCAGAGGTTCTTTTGGACCTAAGGAATAACAGCTTGCAAAAATGGGGATACAGTTACAATAGGACTTACCTGACCTTCTGCAACCTCAATCACAAAGCTTTTCTTCATTGCTACCTATAACATTCTGGAGAGAAGTTCCACAACACCATGCCAAAACCACAGCATTCAGCATTCACAGTCCTCTGCCAGAATAGCTGGCCCTTTCCAGTCCAGGCTTTCACTCTACTCTGATACCAGAAGCAATCTGAGGGCAACTCTCTGATCCCCAGACACTCATCCTCATCAACTGCTAACCTGCCTCTGCTTCCTCATCAAAAGGCTGGTCAACCACGATGTCACTGCAACAGGGAAAAATCAATTCCAGGACACACAGATCCCATAACATTCATTTTCCTCACCCTATCCAAGGGGAGACTCTAATAACTGGATTGGCTTTATTCCACCTTCATCACTTCCCAGAGCACATGCACTGAAAGTGCAGCCGTGACCACCCACAGGGCCTCCACTCTCACTTACCAAAGTCCATGGAGATGCACCCTCTGCTGCTCTGAAGGAGGCCAGACTGCAACTGCCAGAAACTCGGTGATGTTCAATGGGACCGTCTCTTCTGGCTCTCAAGAGTTCTAGACCCATCACTGGAAAAGATGCACAAAAAAACCTATAGTTCATCAGTGCCTTTTTCCAGTTCAACTTGAAAAATCTCCAATCATTGCATTATTTAAGGTCCATGGCCACTACCAGATTCCTCCTAAATGCCCATGGACTAGCCATGCAACAGGAAATGGACAATCCTGAGGAGATATCTGCAAAAATACCCAAATTACATACCTCAGCAACACAACTCCCTTGAACAGAGTCAAAATCACCACTTGCCAAGCTCATTCCCCTAATGGAGCCAGTATGAAATGCACACAATCTGCTGCCTTTGATCCAGCATAATTTGGTACTCCCCACAATGACAAAAAGGAACTGAGCACACATGACTCAGGGAAGAGGAAAACACTGGAGATATACCACACAAAATAATCAAATATATACCAAAAAAAGGATAGATGGTGAATGGAGCACAGACTCTGAACCCCATACAACACAAGTCTTTCAATGAATTCGTGCCCAAGAATCATGAGAAATATCTCATTACACTCATGCTACACATATTAAATTGGATATGCAAGATCCTAGTATATTCAACAAAGTAACAGTATCCTGATCCTTACTTGAATTTTGCATGAAGTTGTGGCCACAGGCTCTGGACACACCTGTACTCACTTCAAAGGAAACAAATAAAACATGGAGAAGATGGAATCATTTTAGAGCCAATGAGCAATTTAGTTCCCCAGTAAATCAATGAATGAAACAAGGTGACTGACAGGGAAACACTTCTGTCTCCAGAGTCCAACTGCTCCTAAGTGAACACCTGTAAACTCTCCAGTGTTTACTGTCCCTGTGTAGGTATTCGTCTAGCACAAAACCTGGACAGAATCATTCCTTCAATGCTCACGCTTTTGGCATCCATTTCACCTTCCCCATGTCAAGTGTTCCATCACAGACCGTGGCATCACTGAGGATAACATTCTGTGTGATCTGAGAAGCTGTAAGTGAAGGAGGGAACTCAGGAATGCTGAGGGACGCTTCCTCAGTTCCCTGTGCATGTGAAGGTGGCAGGATGTCCTTGGTGGCCTGGGCCAAAGCCCACATTTACATGCTGTCTTCAGGAATTTTCATGAGTAACTTCAATGCTTCACTGGGACATCAGGATGCCTTCAAAAAACACATCATGAAAACTGATTTAGTCCATATCTCCCATGAAAACCTACAGAATCTTAATATGTATAGTGCTAGAAGCCGGGATTTTAACAAGAATCTGTGTGTCTCCACACAGAACAGTGTGGCGGCTTCATTAATGGTCAATTAAAGTGGGAATGCCTAGCTGAACTGACTTACCATGGTTCTGGGTGTGGAAGACCCACCTGAGGACTGTTGTGGAAATGGCACAGAGAAAGGGCAGGGGAAGATTGCATGCTGCCTATTTCCCAGGAGAAGGATGGTTCTGCCATGATTTTCTGATCAAACTCAGCTATTCTTATCTTCAGAGGAGTTGGGGTCCCTGCTGTCACCAGGGATGGCTGCCATTCTCCTTGTGGGAGCTCTGGTCTTTGCCTTGAGGGTCACTTCCTAGCTCTAGTGCAGATCCTTCAGCCTTTTGGCATACATCCTTCACCATGCCTGCACAGGCTTTCTAGCTTTCAATACTGGAAGACCTTTGGGCTGTCCCAGTGCAAATCCTTGATACAAACTTTCATGAGAAACCAACATGAGCTGTAGGGCTAAGGTGGGAATTGTTTAGGACACTGCCATGGGAAGTAGGCCCTATGTCAGATCCTACATGACAATAGCATGTGAACAGATATCATGTGGTGGACTTTTTAGGTCAATATTATAAAATAATCCTGTAAATTACGTGTCATTTATTAAATTTATTCTGAACAAAACCCTGACTACAAAAGAACACAGTCATTTGACAGGAAAATGTTATTCCTATGGTGGATACTAGGAAGAGTCTCTTTTGCCTGCATTATCACACAGTCAAACAGCAGGAAAACAAGGGTTGCCAACAGGTTCCGATACACATGCGAATATGGCTAAAATTGGCAACATCTCACAAGACCTAATCTACAAGCAGGCCCTTCTGAGGATACTGTAGAAAAATATGGCCACACAGGTTAAACAGAGGATCCTTTTCTACATTGCTAAGTAGCATTATACCCAGAATCCAAGACTATGCCCATGTTACAAATTATCTGACCATCTGCAACCTAGACTCAAAACTCTGTTCTTCATTACTGGACACACCTACCTGAGAGAAGTCCAGCAACACCACAAGAAAACTGTGTAATTCGACACACATTTTGCTGTACAAGAACAAAGATCTTGCCCTTGGTCATGCATCCTCAAAAATTGGTCACCTTCCAAGATTCCTGTGCTCCCTGCTCAAAAGGCTGCCTGACCGCAATGTCACTGGATATGGAAAAAAGCAATCTCAAGACCCACAGAACCCTTGACATTCATGGTACTGCACTCCACACCAATGACAAACTCATGGTCACTGGATTGACTTTGGTTTTCCTTTTCTCACTTCCCTGGGCATCTGCAAACAAAGCACAGCCCCAACAACATACAGAGACTCTACCACAACTTACCGAAGTCCATGGAGATCTCTTGTCTGGTGCTATGTCTGGCAATATTCAAAGGAGTTGAGTTCTGGACCCATCACTAGAAGAGATGCCCAAGAAAACCTATCCATTACTGGTCCCCTTAATGAGTCCATCTGCAAAATCTCCAAGTCACAGTATCATTTGGGCTCATGACCATTAACACAGTCCTCCTACATGCTCTCAGACTAGTTGTTCAATGGTAAAGGCACATGCTTGAGAATACAGCCACCAAACTGCTCTAATCTGTATCTCAGAAACCCAGCCTATAAAAATGACCTCTTCTCTTCTGGGACTAGTACAAAATGCACAAGATCTGCCAGCAGAAAATGAATAGCACCTGTACTCTCTGGAGATAGCAAAAAGGCAATGAACACCACACTTGCCAAATAAAGAATGAACCATCAGAGCTTCACAATCTGTAGTCCATTCTATTGTACACAAGAAGTTTCTGAGGGTGAATGGGTATAAGCTGTGAATCCTATACTTGCCAAGTCTTAAGGTGAATGTGATCCCAGGAAACAAGAGAAATATCTCATTTTACATGCACACATTTGAATGCCACCTGGACACAGAAGACCAAGTGGTCCACAAAGAGGTACCAATACAGATTCGTACCTGATATTTTCGCAAAGTTCTGGCCACAAATGCCTAATGAGCATTCCTAAAACCATGAAGAAGATGGCATTGCAGAGCCACTGAGTATTTTACTATTCATATACAACTGAAAGACACTAAATTTACCTGGATCCTGGAATAATTGCCAGGGAAATAGTCCTGCCCCAGAATCCAACATATCTTACTTACCTGGACCCCTGCAAACTCCTGTATGCTTAACGCACCCCACATTGAGTCCAAACTGCCTTCAACTAGCACAAAAACCTGGACAAAATCACTCCTTCAATGCCCTCCATTTCAGCATTTGTTTGACCTTACCCAACCAAAGTATCCCCCTCACTCAGAGAATGCACTGTAAGGTATGTGCTCCAACAGTGGCCTAGAAATGCAGATTGGAACCTTTGTCACTTACCTATGCATAGGGAGGCACGAGGAACACATGCTTTCTAGTATGTCTCTAGAATCCCAACAAGTCAATTATCGGTCTCAATGTGAAATAAGATTGCTGTGAAAACATATGAGAAAAAGAAAAAATGGAAATAAAGTATTTGTGGGTAAGGAGGAGTGAAGCGTTTGAAGAGAGGGCAGGAGAATGGGGAAAAAAAGAACCAAGATGAATTATACAAAGGTACAAATTTCCAATGATAAATGAAATCGTATTATATACCTTAATGTATCAATAAAATTTTTTTAGTGATTTAGGCGAGGTCTCCTTCCATCAGCAAGGATGAAAATTGTGAAGTTCATGCAGAACCAATGTGTTTCACTACTTAGATCACTGAAGAACTCCATGAAAAAAGACAGGTGCAAGAAAGCTTACTCTCTTGGTTGAAAATCTGCATGAATTGCAAAAGTCAGCATCCATAGTAGTGGAAACCTGGATACTAACAAGAGGTCCTATCCCTCCACATACAATACCAATAATAGAAAATGCCTCATGGGCCAGGTGTTCTCCTTCAAAATTCATTGTGTACCCATAGCGAGTGGGAAAACTCTTGTTTTAACTTCATTGTCACACATTGGTCAAACAGCAAGAAAAAGTCAAGGATGCCCAAGAACACTCTTTCAAGATTCATAGGAGAAGTGAAAGCTGTCCGAGGACTGAAGTTGGCACTATCCCACAAGACTTGATCACCATGTGGAGCCTTCTTAGGATAACTGGCGACAAAAAGTAGCAACACCAGCTTAGGCAGAGGCTCTTATTCAGACTCACCAAAGAATATCAGGCACCCCAAACTGGGCTATATCCATGTTAATTTCACCTAAAGTAATCTCAACTCAGAGAAACTGTTTACATTTCTACTTCTACCAACCTGAAAGAAAGTTCAACAGCACGATGTAAAAATCACATTATTCAGCATGCCCTGTGATCTACAAGAATATCTGACCCTTTCCCTGGGCATCACCACTGCCCCAAAAAACTTTCACTCCTCCAAAGCAATTTGAGGGAAGACTACCATCCCCAGACACTCAACAAGGGGTCATGGGCCAACATTCCTATGCTTCCTGCTTAGAAGGTGGCTCAACCACACTGCTACTGGAGAAGTGAGAAAGAAATGCCAAGCCAGATCCCTCAATATTCCAGCACCCTATATTAAGGAAAAAGTCATGGTCACTGTATCGGCCTACTTTCCTCTTCATCACTAACTTCAGGACCTGCACTCAAACACAGCTGCTACAACCCTCAAGGACCCTTCCATCATTTAATGAAGTCCAAGGAGATGCCCTGTCTTCTTCAATGCAGGATTATCACACCTGCACGTATATGGTACTTTGGAAATGTTAACAGGTTATCCAGTGTTCAGTGACTCACAGCGAGATCCAGACTCCTAACTGGAATAGATGTCAAGGAAACCTATGTTTTATGGACGAATTTCCATTTTCCACACGTCGTCAAATGTTTTTGGATCCATCACAACTACCATGGACTATCCAGGCTACATTAAATGGACAACTTTGGATACCCATCATACTGCTATAGTACACATTGCAGAAACCAACATTATGAAAATGAACAACTGGCCCACTTATTCCTTTACAAGACTCTTACAAAATCACAACTTCTACTGACAGGGTAGAAGAAGTCTTACTCCCTTGATTAGAAACCTCCTTGATTGAAAACAACACCCGGTGCTCACTCATGATAGCAAGAACACACTAAACATCATATGTGTCCAAAAAAGAAAAAGCATTACAAGCTCCCCATCAACAGTCGAATCTATAACAGTTAAATAGGCTCTGAAGGTTAATGGGGCATAACAGACCAAGCCAGTGCTACTTAAATGGTAAAGTGAATGTGTAGTCAGGAAAAAATGAGAAATATCTCCTTATGCACATGCTCCTGACATCCACCTAAATAGGGAATATCATGTGCTCCCAAGTGAGGCTGAAGCACCCTGATCCACCTGATATTTTCAGGAGGTTTCAGCCACAGTCTTCTTTCTGTCCCTGTACTCTGGTGAAGACAACCTGGAAAAACAAGAAAAGGATGTCAATGTAGAGTCAATAAGCATTTCAGTGCCTATTAAAAAAAAGCCATTCAGTGACACTGGAAACTTACCTGGATGCTGGGATAATTGCCAGGGTATACGTCCCATCCCAAGTCCAACCTCTCCTAAGTGGACACCTACAAACTCATGTGCTTAGTGCTCACTGGGGAAGGCCACAACAAGCACAAAAACCTGAAATGAATCACTCCTTGAGTACTCACAGCTTTGCTCATGGAAGAGGTCTCCTCACAGCAATCCCATGGTGCAGAACTCCAACCTCTCTGAGCTAAGAACCTTTAAATATATGAAGGGCTGGGAAGGCCAAGGGACACCTTCCTCACTTACCTAGGCACAGGGAGATTGAGACCTTTACAGTTGCTGGGATGAGGCACACATTTATGTGAGTACCTGTAGGGGACCACCTGCACAGGGCACTATGACATCCAGAGACCTGTGAAAAAGAAGCAAGGGATGCAGATTTAGTTTATGTCTCCTTACACAAGCATTCGTGAATTGTGGATGTCACTTGTTTGTAAAGCCCACTTGGTTTGTGACCTGGGTCCTTGCAGTGTCTGGTAAGTAAAATCTTTCTCATTTGAAAAAATCCTGAAGACATTCCAAGGCTTGGTATCTGTGGTGATGGATATATGAACACTAGCAAGGATCCGTGCCTCTCCTCAAATATAGCAAGCAAGCCTGAAACAAATAATATGTGCTAGCCATCTTACATGAAGATGGGTGCCTCCCCATAGCCATTTGGAATAGTCTCTTGTTTTACCTTGAGTGACATGTGTCCAACAGTGGCAAAATGAAAAAGGAGTCCAAGTACAGTTCTTTAATCCTCATCAGAAAAGGTGTGCTATAGCTGATTAATACAATGTCTCAAAAATCTGAACACCAGCTGGATCATCTGAGCAGGATACAAATGAACACCTAATAAGTTATAGAGCTATGTTTTTTACCTCCCTAATGAACACCAGGCTCAACAAGCATTCAGAACCATTCACTGGAAAAGATTCCCTAGAAAACTATCATGTACTGGTCCATTACCTATGTCCACCTGCAGAATGTCCATATCATCCTATCATTCAGACTGTATTGCTTCTATAAGGTTCCTCTGCCAGGGTCAATGCCTAATCTTGCAAAGGTAAGTGAATATTCCCAACGAGATACCAGCCAAACAATTCCAATCTCTCTCTCAAGGACCCACAATGGAACATTTTACTCTGTCTGTTCCTCTAATGAGACTATGAAAAATTCCACAATATTTGCAGGCAAAAATGCAATATCTCCTGTAAGTAAGAGTAAGTAGGCACTGAATATCAAATGAAGTATTAAAAAGAAAATGAACAATGAAGAAAAAGGAAGAAACAAAGAATTAGAAGTTCCTAGATAAACACTGAAAAGTATCCTGTCAATATGCAATGACAGACTTGGAAAAATGTCTAATGTTGAATGTGGCATAGGCTCTGAACTCCACACTAGCCAAAATATCTGAAGGATTCCCACCAGTGAAAAGTGAGAAGGTGTAATTATAAACACCCTTCTGACATCACCAGGACAGGACACATCACATGGACACACCGTGGAAGTAGCACTCGGATTCTTACCTGAGATTTGTGATAAGTCTACCCACAGTCTTCTAGGCTTCAAAGAGGTTAGTTCTTTTGAGGGGAACCTAGAGAAAAGATGCAGATGAGGGTATCAGAGTAGAACTGATGGCTTTTTGATGCACAGGAAAACGCTTAGGGTCATGTAGAAAACCAACCTGGATGTAGGTATGACTGCCAGTAAAACAGTCCTGTTCCCAGAATCCAAAATTTCCTAAGAGACAAATAAAACATCTTATGTTTACACTGCCCAAGCCACAGCCCCAGCAGGCATATTCTGGACATGTGTTCAACAGCTGAGCATCCATTTGAGCCCGCCTAGGCCATGTGTCCTCATACAACCACCAGCATGGCTGAGGACACCTCCCTTTCTGAAATGAGTACCTGCATTTCTAGGAAGGGGCCAGTAAGGGGCTGAGGGACATCTGTGTCATTTATGCAAGCAAAAGGACCTCACTACACCTTGTCAGTGGCCTGAGCCTAAGCCCACACCTACCTGGACGTACAGCTCCCTGTGACATTGGGAGCCAAAAGAAAATCAATTCTGGCAATAATGATTTTATCTACATCTCCTGGCACCAGCACATGTCTGAACTGTGGAGGTCACTGTGTGGTTTTGTGCCATCCAGTTACTAGATGACCAGGGCCCTTGTGGAATTCCATGAACAAAGAGTGGTCAGAGAATTCTTCCCTTAAAGGGAAACCTGCAGATATTCTAAGGGTCAGTGTCTAGAGGCTTGGATACTTGGATATTAGCAAGCATCTTTCCTCTTCTACTGTGAGAGTAAAAAATTCACTATGTAGCCAATCTACAAGAAATGGGAGTCTACTGCAGCCATTGGGAAGAGTCCTTATTTGACCTTCTTCACTGGCACCCAGGTCAAACAGTAGGAAAGGCAGAAGGTGGCCCAAGTGACCTCCTTCAATATTCATCTGAAAAAAAGTGTCCCAAGGATGATGGTTGCAACTTCTTATAAGATGATAACTACTGATAAATCATTGCAACACCAGTTCAGACAGGGGCTCCTTTGTGAGCTCCCTAAGGAACATCACCTAGGTCTTGTGTGAACAAGGCCATGTCCACATTAGGACTCACCTAACGATCTTAAAAAATATGACTTCCCTAGCAATCTGGCCTCAAGCAACCGATTCTTCACAGCTATATAAAGATGAAGAGAAGGCCAACCACACAGGCTAAAAGCACAGAATTCTGCATACATTTTGCTCTGCACAAACACCAGATCTTTCCATTCGCCATCAACACTGGCACAAAAGGCTCTCGTTTTCCTCAGATAGGAGAACCAATGTGAGGGGAGCACTATCACTATGAGGCACGCATCTTCATCAAGTGATCAACTGCTAGGAAACCTGCTCTTCTTCTTTGGCAGGCTGGTCCACAACAATGTCATTTGACCCAAGATACAAAGACCCTCAATATTCATTTCCCTGAACCCTACAACAAGGACAAACTCACATATACTGGATTGGCTCAGTTTGCCCTTCATTGTTTCCCTCAGCACCTGCACCCACACCTGGCCACAACACCAACGGAGAGCCTAGGATCTCTTACCAAGGTCCATGGAGAGAACTTGCCTACAGGTCCCTACATGTCCTTACCATATCCTGAAGATGTTGAATGGGACTCCCTCTCAGTGCTCACTGTCAGATCTGCACAACTCACCGCAACATAGCCCAGAACTACCTTTTACCTACAGCCCTTTCTGTGTCCCCCTATACAATTTCGTGTCATCCTATATTCAAGGTCCATCACAATTACAAGCGCCTCCCTCTGCCAAAGAGTAGCTAGAACACAGTAAAAAAAGTTTCCCAAAGTTACCTGCCAACTACTCCAATCCATACTTGACTGAACCAGCCTGTGACAATTTCCTGTTGCCCCATATGATCCCTAGTGGGACTAGTGTGAAATGTAGGATATATCTGACAGCAGGGATGCAATACCACCTAATGCTCCCACAGGATAGCAAAAAGGGCAATGAACACACAATTGCAAAATAGAGTGGGAAACATCAGCAGTTCTCCATCAATAATCATATCTATACCAGAAATAATGTCTGTGATGCTGAATATGGAGTCAGCTCAGAACCTTGTACTGTTCCCAAACTTCAGAGTACTTGTCTAGGAAACAGGAGAACACCTTATACACACTCTTCTCATGTCCACCTGGATCACATGATACTCAGGGAGGTATGAGGACCATGACTTTTACCTGAGATTTGCATGAGGTTCCAGCCAGAGCCTTCTGTATTTCATTATTTTCTCTTGAGGGGAACTTGAAAAGACATGGAGAAGAGGGTGTCAGTATAGAGTCAATGAGAATTTCTGTGCACAAGAAAAATTTTGAGTGACACTAGAATCTACATGTATGGTGGAGTATTACCAAAGAAACATTCCTATCCCTGGAGCCCAAACTCTCCAAATTGAACACCTGAAATCTCCTGTACTTACTGCTCCCAGGGCAGAGCCACAACAAGGGCCAAAACCTGCACAGAAGTACACTTTCGTGCTCACTAGTTTGACATCCATTTTACCTATCCAAACCCAGTGTCTCCTTATAGTCACTAGTCTGTCTGACAATTCCCTCCTATCTGATCTGAAAACCTGCAAATCAACACAGGGGGCAGGAAGAATGAGGGCTACCATGGTAACATGTGTATGTGGAGATCAGGAATCCATTTTGGTAGCTGGGACCCAAGTCCACACTTACATGGAGGTGTGTAAGGATCACTTTATTTTGTGTATCTCACTCTGACAACAAGAGCCTTGTGAAAACCCACATGAGGTGTACTGATTTACTCCACATCTCATACCAGCACAGATGAGAATTGCAGAGGTCACTGTGTTTCTTTTCAGAACTCACTTGATTCATTACATGCATTTAGCAGAAGCCCAAAAACAAGGCCCCGCAAGACAATTCTTTCTCCATATACAGGAATCTCAAGGAATTACAAGGATTGATATTGGTGGAAACCAGGATATGAACAAGATTCTGTGCACCTCTTTCAAGGATGGAGAAGATGAAAACTATACGTAGGCCAGCCACCCTACATTAAAGTTGGATGCTTGCCCATAACCATTGGGGAAAGTCTCTCATTTTACCTTCAGTAGCACAAATGTCCAAAGATGTAGAAATAACTAAGATACTCAGGTCTCCTCTCCAATATTCATCAGAAAAGAAAGCTGTGCATAGACGAGAGGTGCAACATCTCAAAAAGCCTGATCACCAGCTGGGTCCTCAGTAGGATGCCTAGTGATAAAATATGGCAAGAATAAATTAGGCACAGATTCCTTTTGATGTAGTGAACAACAGGCCTTATGAAACAGGCTATGTCCATAGCAGGAGTAACCTGACCATCTGCAACCATTCCTCAACAAACTTTTCTGAACTGCTGAATTTAGCCAGCTACACTGTGCTAACACCATGTAATTCAGCAAGCAGTTTGCTCTGCAAGAGTAACTGGCCCTCAC